AGGCTGTGGTGGCCGGGAGCGGCCACAGCACTCCAGATTGGGCGACAGAGTGAGACTCCAACTCAAAAAAAAAAAAAAAAAAAGAAATACAGTGATTACTAAGTGAATATTTTTTTCAAAATGTATACCAATCAAAGTCATTTTATTCACACCACCAAAACAAATATTCAGGTGCTAATCAGTGAATGAGAGAAGCCTCTTAGATCTGAATTGGATATAATACTGGTATTTATTTAATAATCCTTCTTTCTGGCCGGGCTCGGTGGCTCAGCCTGTAATCCCAGCACTTTGGGAGACTGAGGTGAGTGGACTGCCTGATCCCACGGGTTAGAGATCAGCCCAGGCAACTTTGAGAGACCTCGTCTCTACAATAAAAAAAAAAAATTAGCCAGATGTGGTGGCGCGTGCCTGTAGTTTCAACTATTTGGAAGGCTGAGGTGGAAGGATCCTTGGAGCCCAGCAGGTTGACACTGGGATGGCTGTGAGTATGCCACACTGTGCTCCAGCCTGGGTGACAGAGTAAGACTCCAACGAAAAAAAAAAGAAATTCTTCTTTTTAAAATATTTTCAAATCAATTTGATTGTGTTTATTTAAGGTACATAACGTGGTTATGTTATAAACGTGTAGTAAAACGGTTGCTATAGTGAAACAAATGTCTCACATGGGAATACATCCATTGTCTCACAGAGATACCCATCCATCATCTCACATAGGTACTTATCCATCATCTCGCATAGGTCCCCATCCATCATCCCACATAGGTCCCCATCCATCAAATCACATAGATCTCCCTCCATTGCCTCTTGTAGGTCTCCATCCAGCATCTCTCATAGGTACCCATCCATCATGTCACATAGGTCCATATCCATCATCTCACATAAGTTCCTATCCATCATCTCACATAGGTACTTATCCATCGTCTCTCATAGGCCACCATCCATCATCTCTCATAGGTACCCATCCATCGTCTTACAGAGGTCTCCATTCATCATCCCATATAGGTACCCATCCATCATATTACATAGGTACCCATCCATTATCTCACATAGATCTCCAACCATCACGTCACAAAGGTCCCCATCATCATCTCACATAGGTTCCTATTCATCATCTCACATAGATCCCCATCCATTATCTCACAAAGATCCTTATTCATCGTCTCACATAGGTACCCATCCATCATCTCACAAAGGCCTCCATGCATCATCTCACATAGGTACTTACACATCATCTCACATAGGTCCCCATTCATCAAATCACATAGGTCTCCATTCACCATCTCTTGTAGCTCTCCATCCATCATCTCTCATAGTTCCCCAACCATCATCTCTCATAGGTGCCCATCCAGCATCTCACATAAGTCCAAATTATCATCTCATATAGGTCTCCATTCATTGTCCTACATAAGTGTCTATCCCTCCTCTCACATAGATGCCCATTTTTTTCCCACTGTGGCAACAGCAGCTATAATGTACTCATTTTACAAAAATACTGAATATAATTCGCCATCATTTACTATTGTCATCATGTTCTTGATTTTTGCTTATTTCCAAATGATTCCCAAATCCAATTTAGTTGTCATATATTTCTTTCTGGAAAAGAATTTGAATTCTGTTATGATTTATTCCCAAACAGATATTTATGATTGAACTTCTTCTATTTCCATTATCAGTAATTTTCTATTTTTTTCTATATTTTTGTTTGGTAATATGTTAATTTACTAGGGCCACCACAATAAAATACCACAGACTTGACTTAAACAACAGAAATTTATTTTCTCCCGTTTCTGGGGGCTGCAAGCTCAAGATCAAGGTATTAGCAGTCTAAGTTTCTTCTGAGGTCAATCCTCTTGGCTTGTGGATGGCCATCTTCTTGCTATGTCCTCACAGTATCACCCTCAGTCTTTGTGTTGTTTGTGCCTAATCTCCTCTTATAAGGACACCAGTAATATTTGATTGGTGCCTAGACAAATGACTTCATTTTACCTAATGACCTCTTTAAAGGTCCTGCTTCCAAATGCAGTCACATTCTGACACACTGGAAGTTAAGGCTTCAACATGCCCATCTGGTTGAACAGTCAATCCATAACCGCTGCTGTAAATAACCCTTATGTATTTGGATATTTGCAGGGCTCCACATCGCTGGCGTTCGTCATCTGGGGAGCATCTACCGAGTGCTTTGTGACCACCATGGTGCCAATGCTGAAGAGCAGCTGCAGTTACCTCAGATCCATGCATCACATTCCTGGCAAACTCATCCCACTTAAAAATTGGATCAGTGGAGTTTACAAAGACAGTCAGGGTTTCAACCTGATCAAAACTTTGCCGGTAAAACCCTCTACATCTATTGGTTTTAGAGGATCGATGCAGTGTGACTTTCATGGTTGCCTGGCCATTCAGTTCAGTTTTTCTTTTCTGAGATGCTCTAAAGCTTCACAGTTATTTCTCAGACATCTTGTCTCATTTTGAGGATATGATGGTTATTTCTAAAATGTAAAAACTTTCTGAAATAATGATTTTTCTTGATAGTTCAGTCTTATCATTATAAATATCATTTTATGCTATATTATGATGGTGCAACCTTAGGCTTTTATAATATCTATGGCTATTTACCCTTATATTGACTTGTCCTAAGCTGATACAATTGACCCTTGAAGAACACAGGTTTGAACTGTGTGGGTTCACTTATACATGGATTTTTTTCAATAAATATATTGAAAAAAATTTGAAATTTGGCAACAATTTGAAAAAACTTGCAGCAAACATCATAGCTAAGAAATGTAGAAAAAAATAAGAAAAAGTTGGCTATGTCATGAATGCATAAAATATATGTAGATATTAGTGTATTTTATCATTTACTATCATAAACTATACAAAAATCTGATATAAACAGTTAAACTTTGACTGGGCATGGTGGTTCATGCCTATAATCCCAGCACCTGGGAGGCCAAGGCAGGAGGAATGCTTGACCACTGGAGGAAGTTCAGACCAGCCTGGGTAACATTATTTACAAAAAATAAAAAAACAAAATTAGCCAAACATGGTGGCACATGCCCATGGTCCCAGCTACTCAGGAGGCTGAGGCGGGAGGATCACCTGTTTCTGGAAGATTGAGACAGCAGTGAGCCGTGATTATGCCGATGCCTGGGCAACAGAGTGAGACCTCAACTCAAAAAATAAAAGTTAAACTTTATCAAAACTTACACAAACACAGATCGAACATGGTGCCGTTCACAGTTGAGAGGAATATAAGCAACTGTAAAGATGGACGTGTAGGACACCCTGCATTGCTGCAGTGAGTCCATGGCCACCTCTGCTGCCGGCACTGTGAGCTCTTCCTGCCAGCATCCTCTTCAAACACTGTAGGATGCTGGTTGTCTCCATGAGCAATTTGTCTCTCCTGTAAATGCAAATCACACAGAAAGTGATATCTCGGGTTTTTGTGTCGTTTTCACAGTGTTTAGTGCATTATGGGTAGCCTTTGACCCACATGAAGGGTCACCAGGGTCTACAACCTCGATTGCTGCCATTTCAGACAGATGATTCATCCTATAAACAGATAGCATAAATGTATGGTATTGATAAATATTGTAGAGTACCATAAATTTGTTTTCTCTCTCTTTGTTTTTTAATAACATTTTATTTTCTCTAGTTTGCTTTATTGTAAGATCGTGATATATAATACATATAACCTACAAAATACATATTCATCGATTGTTTATGTCATCGGTAAAGCCTCCAGTCAACAGGAGGCTATTAGCGGTTACATTCTGGGGGAGTCAAAAGTTATATGCAGATTTTTGACCATGCAAGGGGCAGGGCCTGTACCCCTAACCTCTGCATTGTTCAAGGGCCATTAGTATATCTTACTGGTCCCATTTCAGTGTGATAAATTTAATTGTTGTCTTATTAAAGTCTGTGACTCTTTTTAAAATATAAATCATTACTCTTTATCAGCTAACTTATTACTTACAGTTTTCTTTGTGACAAAAAAGCAAATAACCAAACTTAGAAACATATTTACTGACAACACCACTAAGGCTCTTTTATAGTGTTTAAACTATAAACTGCATTGCACTGACTTTATGGCAGTGACTTTAGGTACTACAAGTATTTTTCATTTGTGTACAAATTCCAAGTTATATTACCATGAGTTGAAGTTGTTGAAATTCCAAAAAATGAGGAGTAGGAGAGTTGAGGTAGAGATATTTACTTTAATACCTGGAGCTAAAAATGGAATCATTGCATTGATTGGTTTTCTGAACGATCTGGATATGTAAATAAAAACTTAGTAAATCTGTTCTCGTTGTTTAATCACTTGCAGGTAAACTACAGGCCTCCATCTAACATGGGAATTGCTATTCCACTCACAGATAACTTTTATCATGCAGATCCCAGCAAGCCCATACCAAGAAATCTATTTCACAAGTCAAAGGTAAATGATTCTACTACAAATAAACTCACATTTATTTGAATTCAAGAAATCATTCAGTAAGATTACACAGGGACCTCGCTGTGGGAGTTAAGTGAGAAGGTGCAGCTATCATGACTACTACTACTGCTACTACTACTGTTGTTCCTCTTACTACAGCTTTAGCCCCTCTCCTCTAGTGGTTCCTCCTGGATACAGTTTTGGAGCCAAGAAGACTGAATGGACTCTTTCCCCTGATCCCAGGTTCCATTTGGATCTCCCTGGTGGGGTTAGAGCATCTTTTCTCCAGTGATAGGACCCTCAGCTCCATCTCACATCTTCAGACCCGTGAACTCTGTGGTGTCCAAGAGGAAAGAAGACTGCTCGTGCCAACATAGACATGTTTAAACTCTCACTGAGATTCAGCCTGAAAAACAGCTAAACCCTACAGTGCCTGCCTCCCTGGAGGGAGAACAATGAGGCAGAACAGGGAGAAGCCAGGAGGTTTGGAGGGAAAGTACGGTGGGGGTGGCTTCTCAAGAGAGCCTCACAGATGCCTGTGGAATCCTTCTCCAGAAAACGCACCCACCTGTGTTCATATACAGACAGTTACAGGCACTCACATGTGTGTGCATGCACACACAGACATGCAGTTGGTGTTGCTCTTGTCCAAAACTCTCCACTGCTTGCCCATCCCACTCAGAGCAAATACCAGCTGTTCTCAGAGTCCTCCTTGAGTGGCCTTGGTGCTACTTCTCACCTGATGCCCCTAGTCATGTCTTCTCTAGTCACACTGATCGCTCCACTGGTTCTCAAATGTACCAGACACGTTTCCACCTCAGGGCCTTGTCTCAAATCCCTCTGTCTGGATGCTCTTTTGCCGGATACATCATGGCTTTGTCTGAGGAACTCCAAGACCGTGATGAGTGAGAGGAGATTGTCTGGAGACAACAGACCCCGGCACTACCAGATCTTGAGGCCATGGGAGGATCTCCAGCTTCATCTCAAGAGAGACCAAAGCTCAGCCAAGAGTTGTGAGAAAGTGACATGATAGCATATGTGTTTTTGAAAATATGATGAGACCAATATGACAAACATCTATACTCTGTCCTGTACAAATGCTATGAAATACTGGTAAACATATTTTCAAACAGAATGTATCAGAGTGGGTAATAAACAGGTAGATGACAGTTCTATTAAGAGGCCAGAATGTTTGAGGAAATTCTAGAGATAGAAAGCAAAAAACATCAGATACACAGAGACATACAGGCAGAAGGGATCACAACAGTGGAGTGACAATCCATTTGTGTTGGGTAAAGAAATGCCTGAGACTGGATAACTTGGAAAGAAAAGAGGTTTATTTTGGCTCACAGTTCTGCATGGCACTGGTATCTGCTCAGCTTCTCATGAGGCCTCAGGAAGCCTTTACTCCCAGAGGAGGGCAAAGAGGAAGCATGTCACATGGCAAGAGCAGGCGCAAGAGAGGGAGGAGTTGCCAGCTCTTTTAAATGGCCAGCTTTCACGTGAGCCAAAAGAGAACTAACTCACTTGTTACCATGAGAATGGCATCAATCCCCTCCCGAGGGACCTGCCCTCAGATCAAACAAATGCCCCCAGGCTCCACCTCCAGCACTGGGGGTCGCTCTCAACATGAGACTCCAGGGGGTAGACATTCAAACCATATCAAGATGGGAGTTCTCTGCAGCCTTTGTGGTGAACAGTGCCACTGAGCTGCTCAGGCCTTCCTCAAACCCTGCAGGCTAGATCAGCCAGAGTGGACTTGATCAAAGAGGCAGGCCGGCCCCAAGTCAGCTCCGACAGAGGGTCACCAGATGCCAGTACAGGTGCTAGACGCGTTTCAGGGTCCCAAGAAGTAAGCACAGGCCATCTCCAGAAGTGACAAGTGTTTTACTGGGATGAAACTATGAACCCTGACAAGCCTCTGATTCAACAAAATCACTCCCTTAACAGGGCAAGGGAAAATGGGAAGCTGGGTTAGGGGCAGACCACTCTAAATGTGAGCGCCTCGGCCTCTGATCACATCACTGTAGTACCCTGTGGGCAACACGTGCCTGGGAGCCAATGCTATGGCTTCCTTGTTGTATGATGTCATTCCTACACTTGTGACCATGTGTGGTGTCGTTCTAAAAGCATGCTGTGGCAGCTGGAGTGCAGGAGGGGCAGAGCGCTATGGAATGCCAAGATCAGAAGGAAAGTTACACGATAGAAGAGGCACGGATTCCAATGACAAATCCTTATGCCTCAGAAAAGAGTTAACATCAGAGCTAGAAACATACTTCGGAATGAGAGTGATAATTGTTTTCAGAAAGATTCAAGAAATAATGCAACCAAGAAAAAAATGTAGATGTCACCCCAAAAATATTGAAACTAAAAATGTAATCAATGAAACAGAGAACTCGATAGATGACTGAGCCACCCGACAAATTAACTCATATGTACGTGTGTATGTCTTTGTATGCAACAGAGAGAATACACATTCTTCTCAATTTACATAGAACATCTAGGCAAGCAGCTGTCTAGTTTGTAATACAATCTAATGGAATTTCAAAAAAGTTTAATGCAGTCCCCATTCTATAACCTTAAGTTTTGGAAAGTTTCTCCAAAAATGTAAGGAAGTTGGAGCATACAAAAATATATTAGAATAATTTATAAATGGATTAAGGGAAAAATAATCTCATTTGAGGCCATAAAGATATTTGGTACAATTTAACACCCATTCCTGATTAAACTTCTGCAAATCAGAAATAGAAGAGATAATCCCTAATCTAATGAATAATATCTGTAAGAAACCTGTAGCAAATATCACATATAAAAATTAAGTATTAGAAACACTCAAGCTTAAATGCCTCTATTGGATTTTGTTCTGTAGGGTCTAAGGCAATGTGACAAAAATAAATGAAGCATAAATATTGGAAAGAGATAAAATTATCACCATTTTCAGGCTGGGTATGGTGGCTTGCACCTGTAATCTCAACACTTTGGGAGGCAGAGGCAAGAGGATTGCCTTAGCCCAACCTGGGCAACTTGGCAAGACCAGCCTGGACAACTTGGTGAGACCTCATCTCTACAGTAAATTTTTTTTTTTTTTAGTTGGAGTCTCACTCTGTTGCCCAGACTGGAAGGCAGTGGCACACTCACGGCCACCCCAGTGTTGACCTGCTGGGCTCTGGTGATCCTTCTGCCTCAGCCTTCTAAGTAGCCAGAACTACAGGCGCGCACTACCACACCCAGCTAATTTTTTTATTTATTGTAGAGATGAGGTCTTGCCAAGGTGCCTGGGCTGGTTTCAAACCCATGGACTCAGGCAATCCACTCACCTTGGCTTCCCAAAGTGCTGGAATTACAGGCTAAGCCACTGAGCCTGGCCAGTAAATTTGTTTGAAAGAAAAGAAAAACTTTCACTATTTTCAAATACAATTAGTTACTTGGAAAACATGGAAGAATCAAATGACAAACTATTAAAATTAATAATAACTATTAATAATGTAGCCCAATGAATACAAGCTCAACAAAGAAAAATCAATAGTATTACTATATATACGTAATAATGAAATAGAAGGTATAATGAAAAATAGCCCACTATTCATATACACATATTCAATAAATAACTTAAAAATATGTTCAAAGACGATATGAAAAATATTATACAACTATAACCAACACACTTAACCAACACACAAATACACGTAAGAAATTGAGAAATGCCAACTTGGTGGGAAGACTCATCATTATAAAGTTATCAGTTCTTTCTAGATTAATCTATAAATTAAGTACAATTACTGTCAAAACTTTGAAAGGATATGTTTTAGAGATAAAAATGAACTTATTCTGCTCTGAAAAGAAGGCACTAATTCAGTAATTTTAAGAATGAAAAATGAATTAGGAATTTGTCCTCTTATAAATAAAAAGGTAATTACAATACTATGGTATTGCCCAAAGCTAGTAGATGGAAAAAGTAATACAGATTCGAGAGCAGGTAAATAAAATAGATAAGAGAAAAGCATAGAGAGACTCAATGAGACCAAAAGCTGTTCTCTGAAAAGATCAACAAAATTGACAAAACTTTAGAGAGACTGACAAAGAAAAAAAGGGAAGAAGACACAAATAACTAAAATCAGCTGTGAAAGTGGGATATTACTACCAGCCTTACAAAGATAAAAAGGATCACAGGAGAATGTAGGCACACCTTGTTTTATTAGACTTCACAGGTGCTGTGTTTCTACAAATGGAAGGTTCATGGCAACCCTGAGTTGAATGAGATGATTGGCACCCTTTTTCCAACAACATGTGTTCACTTCTTGTCTGTGTCCCACTCTGGTAATTCTCACAATATTTCAGATTTTTTCATAATTATGATATCTGTTATGATGATCTCTGTTCAGTGATCTTTGATGCTCCTATTGTCATTGGGGGCGCCGTGAACCATGCCCATGTGATATGGGCGAACTTAATTGATAAATGTGTGTTCTGACCCCTATGCTAACCTATGGTTCCCCTCTTTCTCCCTCTCCTCAGGCCTCTCTACTCCCTGAGACACAATATTGAAATGAGGCCAATTACTAACCCTGCAACAGCCTCTAAGTGTCCAAGTAAAAGCAAGAGTCACACACCTCTCACTTTTTGCATCAAAAGCTAGAAATGATTGAGCTTAGTGAGGAAGGGTGTCAAAAGCCAAGACAGGCCAAGACACTGCCAGTGAGCTATGCTGTGAAAGCACAGGAAAAAATCTTGAAGTAAATTAAATGTGATTCTCCAGTGAACGCACAGGCTGTGAGTGTGCCACTGCACTCCAGCCTGGGAAACAGAGTGAGACTCGACAGAGTGAGACTCCAACTCAAAAAAATAAAAAATAAATAAATAAATAAATAAAATAAAAGTAAATTCTTTTTTTTTGCCTTTAGTTACAGAAAGAAGTTTTTAAATTTTTTCTTTATTTTTTTACATTTATTTATTTAATTTTTATTATAAAGATGTGGGGTACAGTTCAGGGTTAGGTATACAAA